TGTGGGGCACCTGCTCTCTCTCCTGCTAGCCTTCCATGCAGCAGGCCAGCCCCTGGTAGTAAGATAATGGAGAAAAACCCCAATATATTTATCCCACAACAGTATATCAGTTCAGTCCTTTTGTTTTTCATTTATTTATAGTGGCAATTCTTTAACTCATAATACGGACTCAGAGCAAAATTTATTGCAAAACACTCAACAAATAACAAGATCTTTAGCAGCTGTAAATGGGCATCATTTTACTGATGCTAATGGATTTACACCTCTTAGAATCAGTTGGGGATCTAATCCAATATTTGTGGACTCTAAATTCCTCACTAAGTTTTGCTTCTTTCTTTACCACAAAAGTACTGACAGGAAAATGTTAGTAATGCCTCTTCTCTTAGTATCTTTCTTATTAATTTGAGCAGGCTCTTTTTTTAGCAACTTTTAACTTTGATGTTGTTAAATACGGCCACACTCTGAAGACTCTCAGTACTGGGAAATCTGTTTTCCTGGAATATCTTGTGTTGTTTTCAGAACCGCACGATTGTGTGACATCTGCTCCACATCTCATACGTGATCGACTGAGTAGGTACAAGCGTGGCAGATGGCTGATGACTCACCTCACAGCACTGAACATTGGTTTGCTTTCTGAGAAGCAACATCTTCACATTTCTAAGAGTCTTGCAAAGATGTGATCGGTCTGCCTGGTTTGCTGGCAGGTAACGTAAGTTATAGGAAATGCGCAGGGATGCAACAGCAACATTTATTCTAGGACTGAGGGTAATATTTTAAAATTCAATTTATGGGCTACTATCAGACAAATCCACAAAAGGAAATTAGGTTCACTGCTGTACCATCTAAATTTTAGGCACCTAAATAGCAAAATATGGATCCCTGAATCAGACAGGCATCTAGGCTTCCTATGCAAAGGAGGAACAAATATCCACAGAAGCCATTCACTTGGGTGAGGAATCAGGAAACACCAGAGAAAGGTTATACCTTAAACTCTGCTCTCCCTCTGATTTGGCTGCCCTGTTCCAGGCTGTGGGGAATACCATGAAGATTCACGCATCACAGACCTGGGCAGAAGGTCATTCCCAGCTCTTCTAACATCCCATTACAGATAATGTATGCACCTGCTATACTTTTGTTCTGTTCCCCCTCTGTTGACTGTCAGATCGAAACAGGCGCAGCCCAGTTAGCCTGTGTCGTTTGGATAGGCCAAGTTCTGATCACTTGTAAGAAAACTATTGCAAGAAGCCTCAAGTTTACTTACAGTGACATAACCTCGCAAAATTAACTTTGCTCGTTACTACAGTTAAAGAACCTTGGTAACAGTTTGTTATGCCCTCTCATTCTTCCAGACTCCTTGGCCTGGCAGAACAAGATGATTGGAGGGAACTCCAAAGAGCCATTCCTAAACCACTTAATTTACAGCTCTATATACCAAGCCATCACACTCCCGTATTAACTTAAAGATAAATATTGTTATACACATTGCAATAGCTTAGGTATACCAAGCTTAAATCGAAAAACATCAACTTGTTTGCAAGTACATAATTTCCGTATTAAAAATCTAATTAGTGTTATAACAACCATAACCATGTCCAAATCCTTTAGGATCAAAGAGCATGCCAGTCTCACAAGCATCATTTTGAAATGTGACTACCCAGCTTAAACATGCTTCAGCCCTGAAGACTAACACATCAAAATGCTTTAGTGGCTTGTCAACCTTTGTGTTTTTTAAAAATCTCTCTGCAGCAGAGACGCATCATTCCCATTTCCACTACCCTTATGTCAACTAACAAAAGTTCCTAACGAGCCTCTTGGAGGCTCAACTGCTAACACCATTAATGTTACCAAAGACCTGTGCATGACTAACAGCTGTGTCCTAAGGAAACTGAACTCATACCTTCCATTTCCAAATAAATTGCTCTAAAGTTAAAGAGTATCCCAGGAAGAAAAGCAGGGAGGAGATGATGGGTAGAGAGGAAAGAAGGAAGATGTTGTCATTGCTGATTCTGATTCATCCCCTATGGAATAAACATTAATCAGGTCTGACAGAGGAAGCCAGCAAGGGTGAGCAGGACTATAACCCAGTAGTTATTAATTAGATTAAGGGCTTGAACACAGTTGTCTTTCAAAGGTGACTGCCATGTCCACGACTGTTTGTCATCATGTTCTCCATCTCTCTAGTCCGAAGTATACTCCATTAAAAAATAATGGAAGGAAGGCTTCTATAGAAAAGATTTAAAGTAACTCTGTCCAGAATAACTTAGAACTCAGTAGCCAGCGCTACTGCCACAGAAATGGGCTATGGCATTCATGGTCCTGGTGACAAGGAGGGGAAGTGAGCATGTCTGCCCTACATCCTCTGTAAGTATTGACACTATCAGGCCATGCCTCGAAGGGAAACTCGCTTTCTTCTATCATTTTATGGGCATGTGTGGATATGTTTCTAAAATACTCTCTGGGATGACTCCTGCTGCAGGGCTTTAGACATTAGAAAGACATTGCTGAGACACACTAAGACAATAGCTTTAGTTGTGTTTAAATGATTGATATGGTTAGTTTCTCTGAACTGCTACAGTCTGACTATTATCTGCTAAACATAAAGTAAATTCTTTAAGTGGTACTGGTGTCACTTACATTCCCTGACAGCTGGTAACTAAAAACCCCAGCATGCCCCAAACCAGCAAAAGTGGAGTCTCCCTCCTCCAAATGGTATGTAACGATGGTAGTTAATTCACATAGAAAAGATCTTTTGGGGCTGATACTTATCTCATAGTAATTTTATGTCATTCAAGTTCCACTAACAACTGTTGAGTTTACACCATGGTGCCAAAGAGGTGTATTAGATCCTTCAACTTCAAGCTATCCAGAGCTTACTCGGCTCATTTGGCACCTCTGTGTTGCTGACACATGCAGAACTTTAACAGATGGTCTTACAATACTGGCAGTTGTTTTGTACTGTGCTAGCAGTGAGGGGAAATGCTCTGCACAAATTGTCTGCAATTCTGGAAAATAAATGAGGTACAAATCCATATTAACCTCAAAAGCCAAACTATAAAAAGTCAGATTAGTCATTTAACGATGTATGTGCTCTGGGTTAAATGCTCAATTGCTACAAAATGGCAATATTTCCCTGCAGCCAGGAGAACTATACTTTGCTTCAGTTTCTGCCAGGAATACCTATAAAGACTGTATCATTAGAGAGGTATCGAAATTTGTTAGGAATAAACCTTGAGACCCTTCTTCATGTGATCAACCCTGACTACCAGCAAAAGTACCTCCATAAACCCGGTGTTTTCACAGAAATAGTGAAGCAACAGGGTGCAATTTAAGTTAACAGAATCTCTTTTTTTCCCGTGCCAAACAGAATTCAAGAAATAACACATCAGCTACTGTGCAAATGTTGAAATCAACAGAGATGACGAATTAAACAGTAATTTTACTTTTTTTTCTCACCCATTTAAAAAGAGCTATACATACCACAAGCTGAATTTTACACTCACTAATTTCACTGGCTGCAATGGAACTTGCACTGTACATAAAAGACCAGAATTACTCCTCCTTTCTCTATGTGGCTAAATTTTTCTCTTCTGTTGTGCCAATTTATCAGATATATCAACTGAGCTGAACTAGTAAACTATGTATTTGTCATTTAGTTCCCATCCATTTCAATATATTTAGTTAGATAATATGCCAGTCACCTTGTGTGTTATTTTCACAGTGTTAGTTAGACTGAAATACAGTTCCCTTAGATAGCTTCAAAGCCCTAGAAGGAAGTGGAATCTTAAAAGCGTAATCATAAATGTCCTTCAAATGTGAGAGGTTCATTCCAGTCTTCTGCTGGGACTGAATCTAAGATGTACTCATTTTTTTAAAATTTTATTTTATTCATTAAGGTTGCATAAAAAACATAGTTGCTGGAACTGACTGATGTTATACATGTGTAACTTTGATACAAGTGAAAAGATTTTTATTAGCTTTATGTCTAATTTTATACTTACAGATCAAACAACTAGTAAGTTTAAGATAGGTTTCATGTTTTCTTTTCCTCCCTCAGGACTTTTGCCAGACTAGGATAACACAACATACTTCCAGGAAATACTTATATAAATATATGATAATATGCCTCTGAAAGCATAAATTATTTCATTAAAAAAGCAAAATCAAAAGAAATGTTAAACAGACACAGTCAAAATGTAGGAACATCAATCTCTCTTGTTTCTCATCTCAGGCTTAAACATTTTGTCAAACATTTCAAGCCATGATCCTCAATGTAGCACTTTGCAGTGAAATTCCCAAGAGAGAAGAGGAGTTGGTATTCACGTTTTAGTACCAATAACGCAAGCACATCCTATTCTGGGAAGAGGTCCTCCCTTACAGATGCAGAATATGAGATAATGTGATCGAAAAACTTCATCATCCTTCCAGTTACTGAGAGGACAGCCTCCCACCTTCTACAACAACTGGTCATGGCCCCCTGCTTCCTTGGGCTTATCGTCGGCAGAGCTCACCACAAGTCCACACTGAACATTTCCTGCGCTTGGGACATATAGAAACCTTTCTGGCAAGACAGGCATGAAACAAAAGGAGTCTCTTGAGGAAACAAAAGGTAAAAGGAAGAGGATAATCTCACTCGTTCTAGCAATATCCAGCACTCTACGAGGTGCCTTCTAGTGAAGGTTCAAGTAGTGTCGAATTAAAAAATAATGGAATAATTTGCCTACAGATGCAAGAGAAGGTCTTTCTTAATGATTTAGAACACTACATTTGGTAAAACAGTAGAGAGTCAGAGGATTTATAAACCTAAAAGAGAAAAAACCAAATGCAACATTTCCACAAAGAGAATACATCTGTTAGTGAATATAGATCTTTGTGCTGCAATTCATGTCCCAAGCTGGACATTATTCAATTTTGAGAAGACAAAATCCCATGGAATCAAAATGCAGTTTGTCTTTGTAATTTATCTCTTTATACTTCCTATCTAATATTTTTGGAAATGATACTCAAAATCTGCTTAAATACCTTTATAGTTTCAGTAGGCACTCCAGGCTCTGGAACTTTATCCAAGTAAGTAGACAAGTCTTGATCCACATGTTCAAACACTAACGTTAACTTGGTCTCTCTATCTGTTCGTGACACGGTGCACACATCAAACAATCTGAGAGGAGGAAAAGAAGAGGAGGTAAGTATACAGGAACCAGTACAGACATACATACCTTGCAGCTCATACATGTCTATTTAAGTTTCTTACAGTATGTAGAATGGAAAAAAAAAATCTTTCCAAAGGTAGAGCAATCTTTGAGCTCTTGATTCATCAGAGAACTACAGATATATCAATAATATCATATCTCTCTTTCATGTGTGGATTCTGAAGTAGGATTAAGGATTAAGAATCATCAGCTGTTAAAATAATTACATTGAAATAAAATGTCTTTTGGACAGAACAACTAGAGTTAATACAGAAGATGATATTTATCCGCATTCTATGCTGCACCAACTGTACTCATTAAAAAAAAACAACGTAACGTTTTTGAGAAAAACATATACTGAGTGTTTGCATGCACCTTCAATGTCTACCCACATAACTCCGATGTCCACCATCACACAGCTTTAGAACTAAATCTCCTTTGGCAGAAACGGAACTTTTGTGCTGATTACTCTTGCAAGTTCCTGGATGCAAGGAATACCTTCAGAGTCAGAATACAGTCTGGAAAAAAAGCTTTGTCCACAAGACGCCACTACTAAGAAAGTCTGATTCTCTCATCAATTTCTGTCATTCTTTTACTTAAATTTCCTTATCATTTCACCTTTTTGCATAACACTAAATTCAAATTAATTTGCAAAGCTCTTCATAATGTCACATTCCTATCTGATTACTCTATTTTCTATTTTTTTCTCTTTTTTAATTAGGTCTTTCCCTCGTCTTCTCCACTTCATCTACCATACCAGCTTTAATCACCTTTTTATCTTTTTCACAAACATATTCTCATCCATCTATGCTTCACATCTCTACTCAAAACATCTGAAATTTACATCTGAACATAAACATGGGAAAATATTTCCAACTGTACTCTTCCTTTGTGTTGACCTACATTTACCTAAAAATATTTAAAACACCTTTTCCTGTCAGGTACTTAATAAATTGGCAAAATTATCTTTTCAATTATACAAGATTTATAATTAAAGAAGAAGAGGAAAAAATATATCACTGTATAGCATATAGAAGCAACACATAATTTCCAACTCACTGTGGAGGGAAATGCCGATTCTCTGTTTAATTCTTCTGTATGTGGCTTATTTTGATTCTGGCATTTTCTGGCACAGCTAATAAGGAACTCAGAGGAGCGTAATTCTAGTCACCTATTACTGAGTAATAATATTATCATTGAGTAATAATATTATCTTTCCCTTTTATACACCCTTTATGTAAAACTGTAAATGCTTTACTGTTAATAACAAAAACTCCAGATCCCGCACTGGGCTGGGTGGAAGCACATTGTGTTTACCCACTGAAAATACAGCTGCTGCCTTAGAAAGATAATAATTTAAAGCACAGCTTATATGAATCCACAATATTACAAAAAGACAACATGTGGCATCGCCTGTGCTAATCATTCTGGAAATAGATTGAGAAAGACACAGCTTCTTTACTTGACGGTTTCCATAGGGATAAAACTACTTTTTATAAATTATATTCTTCTACACCCACTGTGAGAAAATCATCCATAGAGTTGTCTTCTTTAGCTAGGACATCTCTGCTGCATCTCTTATGATTTTTCGTACATGATAGGGTAGTTTTGCATGTGATTGCCTCTCTGGAATAGGCAACAGCAAAAGGCCTTTTATTTAAAGAGTTACTATGTGGACACTGTCCTAAGAGAAGTAAATGTACCTCAATTAATACAGGATTTCCATACTGAATACTTTGTAAACACAGCCCTGCCCTTCTATTGTACTTACAAAAGAAACGTTTGAATTATTTGATTAAAGCAAGATCCGCTATGGGAAATCCTGCAAGTATTTAACAAGATGTTTGGCTAGGAGTCATGCACCGCCTGATGTGTTGATCTGAACTGGAACATTGTTGAACAGACACTTACGCAGTACCTGTGTTATAATGTTAGTTCATTGTACTAAAGTAAAAAAAGCTTATCAGCTACAAATCTATGTGTCTGTTTCATTTTATGTGTCTAGTGTCTAGTGGATCTTACTACAACCTAGCAGAACACCTCGCTTCCTACAAAAATAGTTTGGGTTTTTTGAACACAGAAGACTAGATGATACATCTTGACATCTCCATAGTTTCTCAACAACATGTAATCCGACAATTGCAACTTCAGTTCATCTTAATTTTACAAAATACAGACTGAATACTTAATGCTTTTATAAGAAAAGACAGAGTTATGCCAATTCCTTTGAAAACTACTGTGTCTACTGACAGGTACTAATTTGGTAACTGCTTTGAGAAAGTCCTTAAATGTTACTGGACTTGCTTTTGAGATGTTGTGAGAACTGCTATAAAGTTACCCATTTTCAAGTGGAATAAACTTGAAACTTCCTGAGCAAACTGAGACAAAAACGATGGAGATCAAACCCATCAGCCCAAGCCACCTGCAAGAAATACCAAAAAAAAGATCTGACTGTAAGACCTGAAAAACTGTAGGCTATCAGTTCTCTTGCCTCTTGTCAAACAGATGAGTAAGAACAACTGGAAAATCAGCCAGAGCATAGTCACAGGGAAGACCAAAGAATTAGATACTTGCTGCCAAAGTATCCAAAGACTTATTGTAATTTTTATTGCAGTAGAACTAATCCAACACGAACACAGATCCATTTACTTTGCTGGTCACTCACAGCACTGAACAAAAAGACAGTCCCCACCCTCACAAGTTTTTCAATAACATGGATTTACTTTAATTTGCTTAGGAAGAGTGTCTTCCTAGGAAGAGTTATTTTCTAGCTTATGCATGACAGAGAAAGAGAACTGGAGCTATTGATTTCTGGGTAGGCTAAATGTTCAAGAAGACTGTGGTGTGGTAAAGTAGTGGCATAGTCATACGCTACAGTTTTAAGGTTTCCTAAGTCTGGACAAAGACTCAGATGGAAGAGTTCAGTGGTCTCAACATAACTCCAAAAAGTGTTTATCCACATGATAGAAAACCACCAACACAGAATTTACGTATGATTGACGGTGTTTACAAAAACACCACAAGATTGGGATACTAAGAGTATTACAGGTCATGATTGAGATTTATTGACAAATACGCGGTGGGGAGCCTGAATAGCTTCTGCTTTCACTGCCTTTGGCTCAGGTTAATCCCATGAGTCCATAATTTTCAAGGGCACAGAAAATTTCAGCCTATCCTACCTAAAAGTATTGAAGAATGACCGTCAGGCATCCTTTGAGTCCAAATTTCAGAAGCAGCCTTAGACTCTTCTGTTCTCTGGAAGACACTCAGCAGCAAGCCATTTGTTTACCCCAACTTCTTAAACTACATGCTCCTTGAAAAAACAGTTTCCCCCATACTTTTAATATAAGCTACCTTCATCTTTCTTGCTTTTGAAGAGAAAAAATACTCTGGTAACAGAAATCAGTCTCTACTTGGAATCACATATACCCAATGTATTGTAACAAAGGGGTCGTATTTCAGATCAAGAAGACAATAGCTGGGCAAGTGGAGTGGAACATGTGCGTTATGAGAACCATGTCCCACATAGCAAAACAGGAAATAGAGCTTCACACTCTGAAACATATGACAGAGCT